TTATTGGATTTCAATGAAACTTTTAAAGAGTACCCATCACATTTCAATGAACCTAGAACTATACACCAGATTAGTTTTTGGTAAATATTTATGCTTCTTAATCACAATTAATTAATACTGATATCTCAAGTATTGATCATCACATTTGAATAAAACTTGGTAAATATATGCTCTAGGACAATATATGCTCTATGACTGGGTTAAAATCTGTTCATATTAATTCTCTAATTAGCATAATTTTTTTTAATTTTTTTGTTCTAATCACATTTCAATGAAACTTGGTACATTGTGCAGACCTTATTAGTTTTACACTTAAATCTGTCCATATTAGTTACCTTATTTGCATAATTAGTTTTCTATTAAGTTTCCATCAACATCTCAAGTTCAAGTAATTTTAAATTAATTTTTAATGTGTCTCCAATACTTACACGGGAATTCTTTCTAAGCTTTCTTTGATTTATCCTTTTAATACCCCCCATGTCACCTTGTCACATCTTTAGTATTATAATATTATCCATTATAATTTCATTATACATTACCTAAATGTAATAAATTGATTTAAAATTTAATCAACTATGGTTTCTAAACGTGTGATATAAAATTATTATTTAAATTACCACTGTCATTGTACTACATCTTGTTCAATTTGTTCCCACATAGTTCCTATGTAGACTCCTGGTCCCAGTCTCTCATCGCTTGAGTGCTGAGACTCAACATAAACAACATTTGTAAAATCTATAGAACTGCACTGGATGATCATATATTTGTTGTTACTGTTTTTGTTTGTGTTTTGAAACTGTGTTTTTTAATATCCTTACAGGGATTCTATAGACGAAGTATTGTCAAGCACAGTACATACGAGTGTCTTCGAAAACAGTGTTGTGTCATAGATAAATATAGCCGAAATCGTTGTGCATACTGTCGATGGCAAAAATGTCTGGAAGAAGGAATGTCAAAAGATGGTAAGTTTATATGGATATGTTTATAAGCTTTTAGGTAAGTAATTACTCTGTTGTGTGTGTGTCTGTGTGTGCGTGCATGTGTGTGCGTGCGTCCGGATTGTCATCGGCCAAATCCCAGTTATGCATCATACGCTTTCATTCATACTACTAGATCCTAAAATCATTTTTTTGCAAATGTTCGAATCAAAAGTTGTAATAATTCATCTTTCACAAGGTTCAACTTACATAGGTCACTTATTCTATTTGTTTTATGGCATTATAATTTTACACCAGACACCAAAAACAAGGATGCATGAATCTGAGACATGCCTGGACTGATTACATTCAAACTTCACACATACATAGTATTATACATATGCAAATCAATTTGTTTCACGATCTGATTGAAATCAAGCATTTCTGGCGGATCTTAGATGATTGAATGTCAATCATTTTAATGTTAAAAAATCATCATAGTTAAGCATCAGCTTCTGGATCCACATCTCTGACATGTTTATGTTCAAACTGTATTACTGTGAACAAAACTATATATCTTAAATTTGATAACTAACAGGGACTGTGCCATGCTTGGCTTGTTTTTATTGAGTTGATCAGATCGAAATATTTCATGAAAACATTTTTTTTTTCATAATTCAACAACTAACTGAAAAAAGTTTTCTTTTTTTCTCATACATGTAGCTGTAAAGTTTGGCAGAATTCCAAATCGTGAAAAAGAGCTTGCCATGGCTGAATTTGCTGAAAACAAGAATGATATCGAAAGCACCATTCGCAGAATGGAAGAGGAAGAACGACAGAGACGAATTGAACAGAATAAAGATCTTATTCAGTCTACTAAGCCTAATTATGTTAAACGGCCGCCACCACCTTTAATAAGTGTACCTGCTGTGTTGCCTACTTTTAAAGCCGATCCAGAAGTAATAGAAATAATCCAACAGATAAGAGAAGCTCATTCGATGGCGTGCCCATTCAGTGAATTGAACCTCAAAAATTACACCAAACATTCTCCCAAACGGCAAAAAATTGAATATCATAGATCACCAGAACCATTGTTTCTCTCAAGGCGAGACTATTCACCGGGTTTTATAAATTCACCAGGAGCATCATCCTCATCAAGTCAATCTTCATCAGCCGCTCCATCTCCATCAACCTCTTCTGAAGTGTCGTTTTCAGTTTCATCTCCGGAATCATTGGATTTTTCTATGGAAAATACAAAGGTGAACACACTCTTTTTTTTTTTCTTTTTTTTTTACCTGTACCTTGCAAAATATGGTCATAGCTGGATTTTTTACAGTATTAATACAGTGGAATTCTTCTCAACTTTATAGCTTTACTATTCAAAGCAGATATATTTGTATAATTTAAAATGAAAACAAATTATGAACAAAAAAAAAATTTTTTTTTTCTTCTAAGGCATTATTGCATGTGTCTGTTTGAAAACCTGCGTCTTGCAACTTTGTTTGGCAATTTTATATGACTGTTTCCGCCATGTGATTTATCCCGAAAAATCTTTGGAACTGTTAAACACATTGTTCTGAAATAGGCTTTTGTAGCATCTATTTATAATTCTAATCCCTTTGTGATTGATCACGTGGTTTAGATGTCATTTTTTCTTTAAACAGGAAGCATTTTTTTTACAGATGCCACGTTTATCTGATTATTTTGAAATTTGTCATGTTGCATCTCTATACTAAACTATTTCAGACAGCAGACATAAAATTCAAATCAATCACAGGATTGTAAAAAAATGGATTTGTTTCTCATGTGTGCTTTAACTGAACAACTGGATATTTGGCATGTACAAATGTATAATATATGGCAACATCTTATAATTTGTATCAGTCCCCTGGTTTGGCCGCCATCTTGGATTTCCACCAAAAATGGCCACAATTTTGGGCATTTGTTTTTCATGTGTGCTTCAACTGATCAGCTTGATATTTTGCATGTTTCCTACATGTATATGGCCATATCCTCTTATGAGAAAAATAAAATAATTTTGATCACTCACATGGTTTGGTCGCCATCTTGGGGCATTTGTTTCTCATGAATGCTTCACCTTGATCAACTTGATATTTTGCATGTATAACCAAAGCATCTTCTGAGAAAGATATCATATATATCAGTGGGTACATATTAATGCATACTCAAGCGTCAAACTTGGACCAGACAAAGCTGTTCTGCTCTATATCATTAATTTTTATAATGGACACTGTAACTAAAAACTAGATAGGGACTTTGTCATTGACAATGACTTGTATACTATTAATGTTGTTACATTGTATTTGAGATGTATTTTATATTCTGTACGCAGTAGCAATGAAAACACAATAACAATTGTTTGAAACCACTATACTTCAGTGTTCTCAACAGGAGAATGCTCAATCAGGTGGCTAATCTGCATATGAAAGATAATCTTAAATGAACTATTTGTCTTGTTAATTTATATTGGACACAATTATGCAATAAAAGACTATAGGGAAAACACATATATGAGCAATTCTCCGCAATTAATTACTGCAAAACTCGTGAGAAATTACTGTAAAATGTTTAATTTTGGGAATTTTGCTGATTTTTAATAAAATTCAAAGAGTACATTGTGCAAAACTTGCATATACCCAATGAAATTCAAAAATATGTAATTGTATTCTGCGAAATGATAATAATTTACAATATTTTTTGATACTACAACCTTAAAATAACATATTCATTGAGTCATTTTATTCCCGAGATCCTGAGCATATGTTTTTCTGTGTCGCCTGTTTTGATGCCAACCTGAGTAAATAAAAATGTTAAATTAAATATTATTATTAATAAGAAAGGAATAATTGTTCATGTTGCAGATTTATAATCCAAAGCTCCTGTAAATATATAAAATGCATATGAGACACATTACTCATGCTTCACACACAGCTCAAAAAATTGGTTTTAAACTGTCAGTTTCAGCTGCCATCCTGTGCATATAGTGGTAAATTCTTTTCTATATATACAATAATAATAATACACTATAACTGAAATATGGCATGTATCTCACTCTATGTACAACAGCTAATTCATTCATGAAAAATATCCACATATACATTGCCTACATTCTCCTAGAAAGTTGTGATCTTTCAAACTCAATGCACCAGCATGGTATACAGGTCCCACATTGTCATATCTCCTTTCAACCTGTGTAAGCAAAATCTCAAAAACTTTTGAGCAGTTTTTAATCAAATTTATAGTACGTACAGTACTTTGGAATAATAGGTATGCCAGAATGGCAACACCAAATGATGATAGAAATTTATAGATTTCTACTGTTTGGAATTTGACATTGATTGACCTTTACAGCAGTTATTGTGGCCTGTCTGAATACACAAACAATAAATCAGCTATTTAAAGACTATTCTGGACTTGACTTTGATTTGACCTTAACACAGTTAACACTTACCAACCCAAACTCGTTTAAATATAAACAGTCAATACCTTGACTTGACCTGAAAATTATATGGAAGTGGTCTTATCCATTCCAGTTGTGTATTTTTAACAAGTGATTAAAAAAATAATATAAGAACATTACTTTACTCAAATATTAAATATTAAAAGCCTATTTTTGTTTTAACATTTACCTCACAGTTTGGATAAAATATTGTTTTATTTCATCCAAATACATGACTCAAATAGTTGATACTCTATACTGCTGATGATGATTACGAGTTTTGACTTTTACCTTTGGACCACTAACAAGATGTCACACAATATATACATGCCTCGCTTTCTTCTAAACTTCAACAACTTTTCCTACCTTAAAACTCCAGTCTGTTTGTGATACATAGTTCTCCTGCCAGCCGCACACAAACATCTGGTAGATACAGTGTTACAATAAACCTAATAAGTTACAACTGGAACTTTGTATGCTTTTACAAAAAACAAGTCATCTGAAGATGACACAGTCCCCACTTGTCAGATGTGATTATAGTTGGCTATGAATTATAAAGTTTGAATGTATATGTATGAAATCGGGTAGGAAGATTAAGTTGAATATCAAAAGTATGTTACTCAAAGTTAACAGCTAGGACATCTCTATTAAATTTGGTGAAATTTGCATCAATTTTAACAAAAATTCACAATCAATTGAATATGGAAATTCAATTGAGTCAATATTAAATAGCAAAGATATTAACAAAAATTCAAAATTAATTAAATATTCAAATTAGCTCATTAATTAATTTGAAAGTCAATATTGCATAGCACACATCTTATATTGACAGATCAAGTAAGTCTATACCAAGTTTGGTCTCATTCGAACAATTAGTTCACAAGATATTAAGAAAAATTCAAAATTAATTAAATATGCAAATGAATTTGTTAATGAAATTGAAACTCAATATTGCATAGCATATATCTTATATTGACAAATCAAGTCTCTACCAAGTTTGGTCTGATTTTATTATTATTAGCTCACAAGATATTAACAAGAATTCAAATTAATAATTAAATATGCAAATGAGCTTATAATTGATTCCTTGAAAAAATAAATCAATGTGCATCTGTACCAGTGGTTACTCTGTCTTTGTACCAAGTCTCAGCAAAATCGGTCCCTGCATCTCCGAGAAATGATGATGGACACACCCAAAACTGGATTTTACAAGATTTTGACATTCAAAATGGCCGCCAGGCAGCCATATTTTATCAAATCAGGAAATAAATCCATCTGAATATATATACCTCCACACTGTGTTCTTGTACCTAGTATCAGTCAAGGCATCTCTGAAAAATATCAATGGACAAACAAAAGCCATGATTAACAATCAAAATGGCTGCCAGTCGGCCAAATTTTATCATTTCAAACAACGTGCATGGGTGGTCCCTTTGTCTTTGTAACAAGTCTCAACAAATTTGGTCAAGCCTTCTCCGAGAAATGACGATGGACACACAAGGGCCGAATTGAATTTTGGTATTAAAAGTCAACCATATTTGATCGTATCAGAAAATAAATTGACATGCCACATGTATATGGTTGACCACTATGTCTTTGTACCAGGTTTCAAAAAAATCAGTCCAGCCATCTCCGAGAAATCACTCCGGATGGACGGACAAAGGCGAAACTACAACAATCATATGAACACTAAAACAAGATGCATTAATTACCGTAAAATCACTGTTTTGATCAGTTCATCATTGAAATTCAGTCTGTTGTCTCACATGATACTGTTTAATCCATTCCATTTGGAATACACCAACTTTTCGATTTTATATATACATTAACATTTCAACCATTCAAACAACTACAAGTCTCAGAAGTTGTCTCTGTCTAGCTTCTTAATTTTTAATGATTGACTTTTACAGGTCTCGCAAGCAATAATAGCTATGATTAAAAGAATTGTGGTCTTCAGTAAAAAGTTGCCAGGATTTCGGGAACTCTTCCAGGAAGACCAGATTATTCTTCTGAAAGGTATGTTGAACTTGTTGATTAGCATACAAAGATTTTCTTAAACCATAGACAACAAGACAAAATAATAAAATTGAAAAATACATACAGCATGTTTAAGTCCAATTTTGTTACCTGTCACAAAATAAACCTGCCACAGCGTAAACTTATTAATTACTAGTCATAGCTGGTCTACCTACAAAAATAATGGTATCACCCACCAGGTGTAAGACAGTAGAAATCACAAGCTCAGATTTGAATACTGTAGAATACTTTATTTTCGCTTGGAATTTATTTTCGCTATTTTCGCTGAAGGGATGATTCCGTGAAAATAAAATCCAGCGAATATACTTTTTTTCCTATATTTCACATTAAACTCATGAAAAATCAGTGAAAATAAATTCCAAGCAAAACGCCCAAAAAGCATTTTCAGCGAAAATTAATTCCAGCGAAAATAAAGTATTCCACAGTAACACCCAGTTTAGTCTATACTTAGTAGTGTACTGTAGAATACTTTATTTTCGCTTGGAATTTATTTTCGCTATTTTCGCTGAAGGGATGATTCCGTGAAAATAAAATCCAGCAAATATACTTTTTTTCCTATATTTAACATTAAACTCATCAAAAATCAGTGAAAATAAATTTCATACAAAACGCCCAAAAAGCCTTTTCAGCGAAAATTAATTCCAGCGAAAATAAAGTATTCCACAGTACCATCAATTTAACTGCTAGGGATCTGTGACTTAAAGCTTGTTAGAAATTTTAATGAAACTAGTAAATACTATGTTCCTTATTTGTACTTCAGTACACACAAGTTCTTTCTAAGCTTTCTTTGATTCACTTGTATGTATATAGTGCATTATATATGACTGTTTTGATATGCAAATTGTGAACCAAATTTCTTCAATTGATGATTTTTGTGAATTGATATAAAACTCCAACTAAAGTACATTGTACTAGTACCTTGAAGATGGTCTTCAACTCCCAGATGTGTATGCCGTCTGTGCATAGAACCACATATTTTGTGTCTTCTTCGCTCATCTTAATGGTCTTCTGACATTTTGTTATCTCTCTCTAGGCGGTGTTTTTGAGGTGTGGATGTTACAGTCATGTAATATGTTATTGGGGGGCAGTAACGAATGTAATGACACGCCTTACAAAATTGACGACATGTCTTTATTTTGTCCGCCTAATATGATTGAAAAAATGGTTAAGGTGAGTTCATCTTCCCTCTAATCTGACCCACTTGATTAACATGCTGCATGGAAATTATTGATGATGTTAGCGTTCAGTATCAAGTTTCTACCTCCTGTGTTTCCTAGGTTGGCTGGTAGAGGGCGCCATATACGCTATATTATCAGTAGAATAAGTTGAGTTGATAATTGTATTTTGTCTTCTGCTCAACTAATTACTTTGCCTTTCGCTAAAAAAAAATGGTGTGATGACAAGCTGAAAACATGTCACAACATATTACTACATGTTTGACAGTAATACTCATTAGGTATTACGAAATATAAAACAAACAACTCATACCCTTTCTTGGCAGTAAACTTATTATTTTTCTTTATTACCTTGTAGTTTGCTGAGGGTTTCAACAAGTTTAATTTGACAGAAACCGAGATTGCACTGGTGTCTACAGTAGCATTAGCTAATCCTGGTAAGCTTGAAATATGCATTTAATTGTCATATAACATTTGACGTGCATTTTGTGTTGTAACCTCAGCATCTTTAATTTCATACCAGACAAAAGTTCATCGAATTCATGAGTCAATTGTAACTGCAACATTTTGCAACTGGTGTAGATGTCACATATTGGCCAATTTTTTTTTTCCAGATCGAAAAGGCCTACGGAATTCTAATCCTGTTGGCAAAATGCAGAATTCATTCCTGGAGGCTCTACAAACGGAGCTTTGCAGATATCATGGTGTGGGAAAAGGTCGCAAACTGTTTGCTGAGATCCTTCTTAAAATGTCAGATTTAGCTGTACTCAGTGAACAACATGCCCATAATGCCAGAACACTGAAAGTAAGTTTTGTTTTGTTACTTTGCTGACTTGAAGTTTGTTTGTTTTCTTCACTGTCAACTCCTACACTGACTTTTTAATAGCAATCAGGTTTTAGGTTACTATGACAATATTTATATTTATGTGGTATTGCAAAAATTAGTATTTATATATTTTCTAGCACGTAGCACAAGAACAAATTTAAAGTGTACCACACGTTATCCTCTGGAATTATGAGTGAATGATGAACCTCTTTATTATATGCGCAACTGCGTCTTCACAAAACTGACCACCAGAAAGAAGACAAGTGTGAAAGGTAGCAGCAATATTGCAGAAAAAATTGAGATTATCTCAGGATAGAGAGTTAATTACTTGGGTCAAAAAATATCATGTGATGTGGATGGAATACCGCAAAATATGACCACAGTTAAACATTAGGACACCACTGATAATACAGTTGCACAAATGATGAGAAGTAGTTTTGATTTGGGGGTAATTTTATTGAACAATGCTTATGAATCCTTATGCTAATTTATGCCAATTAGCATGCTTATGTACCTCAGTGGATATGCATTAGCAGTAATTATTGTTTAAAATTGAAAGAAATATTATTTAATATCCTTTTAAAATAAACATAGTCATTATTAACCTTTTCACCACCAGTTCCCTCTTTTCATCACAAATTCACAAAATAGTCCTGTTTATAGTCTGCACTTTGTTTGATTGACTCAAATTTTGGTTGTTTGCTCCAAAACAAGGGTTCATTTCCAGAAATATTTAAGAATATAAGAATATAAATGCAGAATAATTCAGACGAGAATGTCTTGTGGTGAAAAGAGTATTTATTGCACTATGCACGTAATTGTTATCCTGTCCAATAATAAAAAGGGTATCATGGTCATGTGATTATGTTGTATAAGGATAGACTTAAGGCAGAAACCTACTAATAATTTTTGAGAAAGTTGGTCATATATCACATGACAATGTTCACTGGTTTATTATGTAAAATCATAGCGGACAACAAAAAATATCCAATCATTTCCTCAATTTGCGATATGATATAATATTACTGTCATATAAACCCATTGTTAGAAGCATTATAATACTGAAAAATGCAACACTATCCACGAAAATTAGGATGTTGACTCCCAACATTTTATATTGCCTGGCAGTACAAATTATTGCAAAATGAATAAATTCTGGGTGTTTGCACTCATGAGTGTGCTTCTACCTTAACTAGAACACCACTTCAAATTCTTGCTATTTTGCTGGGCAAAAGGTTTCATAAAAAAAAGTCTAAGAACAAATGAAAAGAGTGGGTACCTGAACTAGTTGCTGACTTTGTGATTTCCTCATAGGATTAAGCTTTACTCCAGCAGCTAGATTGAATTAAAACATTTCAAAACTCAAAGTATATGCTGTCTTTATTAAAAATCGTCTAATTGGAGACGGTATTCATCTAATTGAGAGTATAATGGATAACACGCATGAAATTAATTTATCTGGTATTTTGTTAGCTATAGATTTCCGCAAAGCATTTGACAGCATAGAATGGCCTTTTATATTTTCTGCATTAAAATCATATAATTTTGGGGCATCGCTGTTGCAATGGATTCATTGCGAAGGGCGATCCCATTTCTCCGTATTTATTTATATTATCCCTAGAAATACTTCTTTTTTCTATCAGGTCTAACGGCTCTATCCATGGAATCAGTGTTGAAGGTTGTGAAATAAAAAATGATCGCCGATGATTTAACTTGCTTTTTATCGGATGAGTCATCTGTTATAGCTCTCTTGTCGCTTATGAAAGATTTTTATAAATATGCTGGGCTCGCCATAAATTGTGACAAAACAGAAGCAATGTGGCTGGGAAAGTGGAAAAATCGCAGGGATAAATCCGTTCAGGGTTAAATGGCCAACATCACCAATCAAGATTGTTGGTACGTTTTTCTTGTACAACAAGAATAAAGCATTCAACTCTGTCAAGTCCATACTAAATTGGTTGTTATCTGGAGGACTCACTATAATTGGTAAAATAACAATTTACAAATCCTTAATAATTCCAAAATTTATATACATATTAAACTCTATCTATATAGAGCCGTTTGATATGAAGACTATTAACAGTATAATTTATAATTGTATTTGGAAAGGACATGATAGAGTTGCTCGAAACACGATAAATGGTGATGTTGGCCAAGGTGGGCTAATAAGGGATGGTCGATATGTATAAATCTCTAATGGTGAAATGGGTACGGTATTTAAATGACAAAATAAATCATCCATGGAAGTTATTTCTGAATAGATACTTGGACCTGTCGGTGGAAAACTAATCTTTAAATGTGATTATAAAGTTGATCACCTACCGGTTGATATTCCAGATTTCTATATTACAATGTTAAACGTTTGGTCAGAGATAAAAAAACTTCATAGCTCTGAGAAAATAATCTGGAATAACTCAAATATTTTAATTAACAACAAAAGTATCTTTTATTGGGAATTTTACTCGCATGGAATTTTGTACATATCTGACATTTTTAACGATGAAAAAACGATAAAAACATGGGATGACTTGATTCTATTAGGCCTTTCCCCAATTAAATTATTAAAATGGAGAGGCGTTATTTCGGCAATCCCATCTAAATGGAAGCGTGACCTTCCTAAAATCGTACGCCCCGAACCCCCAATTTCAGTTATTATCAAAGATATTGTAAACTCCACTCAGCGACTGCAAAAAAAATTTTTAAATTTTTAAAAACAATTTGAAAAGTTATCTCAAATCTTAACTTTGTTCCTCTAATTAGTAAATTTCATTTTCAGCAATTATTTAAAATTGATGAAATAGAATGGACAAAAAAAAACAACCAAAGTATATTTCTGATCAAGTGCATTAGACTGCTTTTATACCGTATTTGTTCTATTAGAAGCACATCACAAATAAACCCTAAATCACATCTCTTGTATATTAACTATAGAAACACCGCAGTATGTAATTTATGAAAACTACTAATTCAACTTAGGATTATTCTGTTGGTGTATATAATTCACATTATATTTGTATATACTAGAATTGATTTGTTTTGTTTTGTTTTTTCTGTAGGTGGACAGTCCTGACTTGGAGGTACCACAGTTATTTGCTGAAATTTATGATATACAAGAGCAGCGAAATGAGTGCTGCGATGACGTGTTACTGAAGTGCAAGGGAGTTACACTAAACACCTCTTTTGACAAGCTACCTGTTGAGCTTAAAGAGTACCTACGTCAAAAACATGAAAGAGCAAAGAAATCCAACTCAGTGAAAAAAGAGATGAGACACCTAAAACACTGTCTATCTTACTCTCCTGACTTCTCCCCTCCCAAAACGTGATGACTTGTGTCTTCATACGCTGCCATGGGTGTACAATATTGATTATTGGAAAGACCACAAACAATGTTAGTCATGATAGTAAGTGTTCTCAGGTAAAACTCTGAGGCTTGCGAAAAATACTATTTATTATCATAAATCTCTGATTATGAAAATGTTTACTGTGATATACCATAAATTTTGTGAGTTATACTAGTTTTTAAAGTTGATTTCACCAGTTTTTGGAAAATTTTCTACAAATCTTTTTGTTGCTTGCCATGTGTGTATGTTACATAATTTTTGTGCAAAAATAAACAATGGACTGGAGACCACATCAGGAACAATTATTTGGATGTGTCTTCATGGGATGAGCTCATTTCTCTCATCAATTACCTGCTTAGCTCAGTTTGTAGAGTGACTATACCACAACTTGGTTGATTAGAGGAAACATGGTTTGAGTCCTGGGTCTCGCCAATAACAAAAAGAAATGTTTTTTTTTTTATAGAATATGGAATAAGTTTCACTTTTGCGCACTTTCATCATGAGATGAAACTTTGGTTTGAAACTGCCTGAATAACCAGTAAACGCTGACAGTTTGCAACAAAAAAACTCAGATTTATTAGTAAATCAGACAGTTTCCAAAAATAAAATAAAATCTGATTTACAAGCAAAGAGGGAACAGTCCTATTCTGGGGAAAAGAGTGAATTACAGAACATAAAAAGGCATACTTAGAAAAATAGCGATGAGACAAAAAGTGGTATAACGGGAATAAACGTGCATCCAGAACAATTGGTCACATGACCAAAAATGGTATAAATAATGAAAATTGCACTATCTTTGTATGTTGCATATTTTGTTGCATTTGGTTTACTAGTATTAGTTTGATGTCACAACTTTCATAACATTTACTTAGTTCATCATGTACATGTGAGTATGTGCTGAAACTTAGTTGAATGCTCGCTACATATTCACGATTCATCGTTGGATTTTTAGCTCCGCTGTCGACTTTGTCGAGCGGAGCTTATCATATGAGTGATTGTCCGTCGTCGTCGTCGTCGTCGTCCGTCGTCGTCGTCCGTCGTCCGTGTCAATGTTTTACTTTTTTGACTTCTTCTTGAAAACTACAAGCCTAAATGCTTTGATACTTGGTGTATATGTACCTTGGGTAGACCTCTCTTAGGTTTGTTCATTTCATGTTGATATCTTCAATTCTCTAATTTTGGTGAATATTTTTGTCATTTTTGGTAAAAACTGATATTTTCGACTTCTTGTTAAAAACCGCAAGTGCAATTGCTTTGATATTACATTTATAGGTACTACATGTGGACCTCTCTCAGATTTGTTAATTTTGTAATGATATCTTTAATTCTTTAATTTTGGTGAATATTTTTGTCATTTTTGGTAAAAACTGATATTTTCGACTTCTTGTTAAAAACCGCAAGTGCAATTGCTTTGATATTACATATATAGGTACTACATGTGGACCTCTCTCAGTTTTGTTCATTTTGTAATGATATCTTTAATTCTCTAATTTTGGTGAATATTTTTGTCATTTTTGGTAAAAACTGATATTTTCGACTTCTTGTTAAAAACCGCAAGTGCAATTGCTTTGATATTACATTTATAGGTACTACATGTGGACCTCTCTCAGATTTGTTCATTTCGTGATGATATCTTCAATTCTCTAATTTTGGTGAATATTTTTGTCATTTTTGGTAAAAACTGATATTTTTCGACTTCTTGTTAAAAACCGCAAGTGCAATTGCTTTGATATTACATA